GAAATGGCAAGTCTTAAAAATGATTACATTTTGGTGGAAGCACCTATCTTAGTCCACTTGGGCTGCTCTAACAAAATATCATAGACTGGGTAGCTTATAAACAACAGAAATTTATTTCTCAAAATTCTGGAGGCTGGAAAGTACAAGATCAAGGCACCAGCAAATTTTGTGTCTGGTAAGGCCCCACTTCCTGGTTCACAGACAACTCTTTTCACTGCATCCTCACATGGTGGCGGGGAATGGGGATTTCTCTGCATTTAGATTAGTAATTATGACTTAGGGAAATGATCCCAAGAACCTAAGACATGATCAAGTTTACAGATTATTTATTTTCTCTTGGGCACTTTTTGAAAAATTTACGAATATATAGACCTTTGACATTAAAATAATACAAAAATAATTGAGAATAAAATTGAAATACAAATTAAAGCCTTCTACAGTAAAATTTAAAAGGGGAATTTTGTTTTGATTTTTACATTGATAGATCAAGTTGAAGATTTTTTTAAGTAAATATATATTCTTAAAATATAACATTAGTTATTTTTTAAACTTCAGTTAAAATACTATTCTGGGGTACCCAAAATAGTAGATATTTTTAAAATGGATGATTAGTAGGATATACAGTGTTCCTACAAATGAACGGCTTTCTCCCAAACTTTTTATCAATTTAATGAAAATATTTCCAAAGTGTTTAGTCATTTCCCTACCTCCTCAAGTATTTATCCAAAATGTTTCAGAAAAAGAAATTAGCTAAATATATTTTTAAATAGTTATAGTTGAATTTCTTCTGTGATACTATAAACACTGTGTAGTTTTCATCATGTTGAAACAAGAAAAATAATGCAAATATTTCATAATGGTTCAGTAAATACATTATAATGAAACATCCTGACACAATCTTATTGCCACCTTTAAGGGATATGGTTACAAATACTTTTGGAAAAATCATAAAATGTTTATAATATAATATGAATAATTATAATGTGGATAATTTTTTTATTTTTTAATATTTTATTTATATATTTGACAGAGAGAGAGATAGCAAGAGCAGGAACACAAGCAGGGGGAGTGGGAGAGGGAGAAGCAGGCTTCCTGCTGAGGAGGGAGCCTGATGTGGGGCTCGATCCCAGGACCCTGGGATCATGACCTGAGTTGAAGGCAGACACTTAACTGACTGAGCCACCCAGGCGCCCCTGGATAATTTTGTTTTTAAAAAGTCTGAAAAACCGGGGCGCCTGGGTGGCTCAGTTGGTTAAGCGACTGCCTTCGGCTCAGGTCATGATCCTGGAGTCCCGGGATCGAGTCCCGCATCGGGCTCCCTGCTCGGCAGGGAGTCTGCTTCTCCCTCTGACCCTCCTCCCTCTCATGCTCTCTGTCTCTCATTCTCTCTCTCAAATAAATAAATAAATCTTTAAAAAAAAAAAAAAGTCTGAAAAACCTAGAGGAAATACTAAAATGTAAGCAATATTTCCTCTTCAACTTTTCTATAATAAATGTATGATAGATTTTAATAACCTGAATAAGTTGAAAAAAATAATAAAAATAGAAGTGCCACTGCACCATACACTTAAAAATGGTTAAAATGGTAAATTTTATGTTGTATTTTATAACAAAGAGAAGGAAAAAAGAAGCCAAGAATCACTGTAATTTGAAGGCATCTATAGTAGCAACAAACTCCCCTATTTACATTTAAAACTCCCAATACCACTAAATTAAAAACATAATGTGTGCTTGTTATGATGACCTTGAAAAATTGAATAAAAATTAATCTATGGAAAAAAACCTCAGAACTGATAGTACCCTCTTGTAGTGAATCTGTAAGTAAAAAGACCTTCTGAGTTCATCAGACAGATAGTTTATGCACACTCTTCCAAGTTCAACTCTCTTAATAGGCTTTAATTACTGGCTCTTGTGGTATACTGTGTTGACTAGTTTCATGAGTTTCTTGGTTACTTAGGATCTGGTTAGTTGTGTGGGCACAATATGAACTCAAATCCAATGACTATGAAAGACTCAGTCATTCCTATTCAGCACCTTGGCACCTTTATAGTTTGCTGTCACATGTGCTGGGATTAGAAAAACTATCCTAAAAGTCACTATACTAGTTTTCCACTAATAAGATAAATAAAGATCTATTACAATGGGATAACGTATACAGATATCTATAGCTTCAGTGTCTTTTATTATTAGAACTGTACATGTAATGTACACATTTTTTAAAAGATTTTATTTATTTGAGAGAGAGAGAGATAGAGACAGAGCATGAGCAGTGGGGAGGAGGCAGAGGGAGAGGGAGAAGCAGACTCCCCACTGAGCAGGGAGCCTGACATGGGGCTCCATCCCGGGACCCTGGGATCATGACCTGAGCCGAAGGCAGACGCTTAACCGACTGAGCCACCCAAGTACCCTATAATGTATTCATTTAATTATGAATTAACATGGAATCAATCATACAAAAAATTGAGAAGTGAAGGCTTTTCACTATGAACAAATGATATTTTGGCAAAATCTAATTGATTTTATATTATCCTTTTTGTAATCTACATGAATATATTTCTTATTTTATTCATGCTATGACCTTCCAAACAAAGGGTATATGAAGGAATATTTTATTCTTTTCAAAGAATGTTAGGGATTGTAAAGGTCAGCTTCTGGCTTTATTTTAAAATAAAAACATGAGACTGAATGGAAGCAAGCTGATATCTACAGTCCATAGATAAATTTTATTAAATATATTAAATTAGGTTAAGTGGTTTAAAGAAACTATCAGGTCTCTCTCAATTTTAGCTTTCAGGAAAATTGTTTTTGTCATTTTGGAGTATAAAAATATTGGAAGAACAATATTCTCGTGAGGTTTATAGAATACATTTAAGAAAACATTACCATGTAAATTGTATCTGGACTATTAACAGATAATGTCTTATTGTATTATTATCTGTCTAGTCTTCTGGTATTGAAAATTATAATAAAGAAGGAGATCATGTGGCCTATGATTAAATCACTTTGACAAGAAATCTTACATTTACTAAGATAGACTTCCTTTGAATTGGTGTTATCTGCAAACACAATAACAAAAAATTCAAGCAGTCATGGAGTACTCATGTCATGAAAAGTAAGGATTCCTTCTGCCCCAAACCCCATTTTCAATCTCTAAAGGTACCACTGATACCAGATTTTTTGTCTTCCAGGAGACATTCTAAGAACCAATCTAATATGTACATCTTGTGTCTTAGTCCATCTGTGCTGCTATAACAAAAATACCTTATAAACAGCAAACATTTATTTTTCACAGTTCTGGAGGCTGGAAGTCCAAGATCAAGATGCCAGCCTGATGTGGTGAGGGCCCTCTCCCCAGATGCAGACTTATCGTAACCTCACATAGTGGAAGGGGCAAGGGCTCTTTCTCTGGCCTCTTCCATAAGGGCACTAATTCCATTCATGAGGGTACCATCCTCATGAACTCAGCACCTCCCAAAGGTCCCACCATCCAACACTATCACATTGGCCATTAGGACTCAGCATACCAATTCTGAAGGGACACAAACATTATCTATAGCTTCTTATAATACAAATGACAGTATTCCATATGAGCTTGTGTATCTGTTTTTAAACCTACTAAAGTCTTCTTATTTATATTTCAATTGATATAAACCTTGTTCTTTTTAATGACTGCAACATATTTTCTTTAACTGGCCAGTTAATGGAAATTTAAATTCTTTAAAAATTTCTGCTATTTCAAAAAATGTGCAAATAAATATATGTGTATTTATTTCTGTGGGATATACTCCTGGAAGCAGAACAGCAGGATCAAAGTCTCATGCTGCTTATTTAGATAGCTATAGTCGAATTATATAACAAAAAAGAAAAATCAGTTTGCAATCCTGGCAATAATGTATACACTTCCCAACAGAGTTTTTATCAAAATTTTGTCACTATTAAATCTCAGTCAAAGAAAACTTGTAGTTTTATTTTTCGTTGATGAGGTTGAGTAATTTTTTGTTTGAAAGTCATTTGTATGTCCTTTTTCACAAATTGCCATTTGTCCATTTTTATCTATTAGCTTTTCTTCTGTTCAATTTGAGTTCTTTTTATGAAGGTTAGTAGAACTTTACTAAATGTTGAAATATTTTTGAAATGTGTCATTGGTCCTTACTTATTGGAATTCGCCATGCAATATTTTATTTTGTGTAGTCAAATTTTAGCTACTTTTGTTTTTATCATCTCTCCCTAATCCTGAAGAATAAGAACTATAAAGTTAAATGTTCATTACGACATGCAAGACGAGTCTGGCCAGGTAGAAACTCTCCGGCGGAACAGAGACGCAGAGGTGGGCTAGAGCAGCCCAAGCAACGCGCCTTCTTCCCGCAGGAGGCGCTAGAAAGCGGGGCAGGGAGGGCCGGGAAACACAACCAATCCTCCCAGAGCACACACCTCCCTACCGGTCCTACTGAGTCTCCCGGCGAACCCGCGCCGGGAGCCCCGAAACTCCTGCACCACCTGAGGATGCAGCGCGCAGCACAGCGGGCGGGCCACTGCCGGCCCAGGACGCCGCGCGTCCCCGCGTCCGCCAGCTCCCGGCCTCCCCTCACCACCCAGCTCCGCGCCCCCTCCTCCGGGACCCCGCTCCTCGCCCGCCGCCCGGCCCCAACTCACCGCCTGG